CTTTGGCCGCGTATGGCTCGAGAGCCTGACCAAAAAAATCATCATCATCAGCACCATCATCATCATCATCATCATCATCATCATCATCATCATCACCATCACCATCATCATCATCATTTTCATCATCAACGTCATCATCATCAGCAGCATCATAATCGGCATCGTAATCAGCATCATCAGCATCATCAACATCATCAACATCATCATCACAATCATCATCATCATCATCATCATCAGCATCGTCATCATCATCATCATCATCATCATCATCGCCATCATCGTCACCATCATCATCACCAATATCGTCGTGCAACGATCCGTCCACTGTAGGATAGAACAGCCTGGCATGTTAGGAGAAGCGACTGACATCACTCACTAAACACGAATGCCTTACACCAGACACTGGGCAGCGCACATGCTTGCATGCAGGGCTCTCGCTGGAGACTTCCTCGCATGCTAGGAATCCGACTTATATAGGATCCTTGCCAACTAGACCTGGACAATGCTTATTATACCACCTCGTGGTTTTGAATACGTTCACGTGGCTCGCATCGTATATGCTCACTATGACACGCATGCCGCTCCTCACCATCCGTATTACATTCCGACTGTCCGACTCCCTACTCCGTCTGTTCAGACACCGTCCATCCGACCTCCGACCTGGCCCTCCTCCGTAGCCATTTGGGCTCAAACGCTTTGAGCCATAGAGAAATAACGAACGAATTTCCATGACCGTGTTTGGACCCAAGCCTTCCGCATTGCTTGTGCTTGTGGCGTGTACCATCTGCTCTGGCGCTCGAGGTTTATGGGTGATGGACAGTAGTCGCAGGGGTGGTGTTCGAAGGAGGCTCGCCGAAAGCGGCGATGGCATTCCAGAGCCAGCCGATCAGAGATCACGACGAGGTGGCGTCAGGCAGAGATTGGATGCATCAACGTCTTCCGCTGCTGCTCAAGCTTGCCCCGAGGGTCAAAGGGCAGCGACCGCCGAATCCTCCCAGCCATCCAAGATGGCAACACCATTGAAATCCTCCTTGCGACGAGATTGGGCCCGTGGGCTGCTACCCGCAGGCAAAGTCTTGGAGTATGCTTGGGGCGCCAGTCAACAAGGTGCTCAAGGGATGGGTCGCATGAGCAGATTGCCAGACGACCCTAGGCATGCACACCGAAACCTGATCAGAGCTCTTGGCTGGCCTGATAACGCCCCAGAAGCTGAGTTCATCAACCTAACCCCCAATGGAACGACTCTGACACCTCATCCTGTCATTGATCCTTGTGCCATGTGGGAAAGCATATATAAGCAGGGTGACGCAGCGTTTTCGATGAAGTTGCGTGGCCTGCCTGGTGATACGACATATTTCTGGACAAACATGAAAGAGCATGTGATATATAAATATGTTTCCTCCGATATTGATGATACATTGTGTGTTCCCCTCACAATTCACGGAGATGGCGCTGCCACGCGCAAGACGGACGGGCTTTTTACAATCAGTTGGTCAAGTCTCCTCGCCAAGGGGACTACTAGAGACACGAATTTCATTTGCACTGTTGTTCAAAAGTCGAAGATGAACGACGATACCCTCGAAGTACTTTTCGCTGACCTCGCGAAGAAAATGAATGCCCTCATGAGTGGTATGACTGTCAATGGCCGCCCCTTATCTACGAATGGATATAAAGGCGTTGTTACAATGGTCCGTGGAGATTGGGAATTCTTTACTCAAGCACTTCGGTTTCCAAGGTGGGACTCATCACCGAATATGTGCTGGATGTGTTCAGCAACTAACAACATCGAGTCTGATCTTTTGTGGAGCAAGCGGGGTTGGCGAAGGACGTTGAGATCTCACGAAGACTACCTGCGGTACCTCCATCACAAGGGGTGCCCTTTACCAGCGCTGTTCGCTGTCAGATCCCTGAGGCTGGAGGGCGTCGCGCTGGATTGTCTACACGTTCTGGACCAAGGTATTTCTTCCCATAGCATCGCGAATGCGCTGGTGGAGGTGATGAAACTGGGCCAATGGGGTACGACTCAACAAGACCAAATAGACGGCCTCCGAGACGACATACAAAAGTGGCATGAGGCGAATCACCAGGCTTCCCGCATCCAGGGGAAGATCACGTTCGAGCGGCTCAAGACATCAGCTGATTGGCCGAAGCTCAAAGCGAAGGGGGCGGCCACACGACATTTGTCTAGATATGCAGCAGAACTCACAGCTCGATACAATACTGGAAGTACCCACGATAAGCGCCGTTGGGTGATTTGCCATCTGTTGCAGCGTTTCTATCAAATCATTGATCAAGAACCGATGTTTCTGTCAGAGGCGGCGAAGCGAGAGCTCAGGCCTTTATCAGAGTACCTTGTTTCAGTGTATATCAACCTCGCAGACGAATCCTTGACAAAAAGGGAGCGTATGTGGAAGATGACAGCGAAGTGCCATGTTTTTCAACACCTGTTGGAGGACCAGGCTTGCAATTTGATCAATCCGACGTACACGTGGAACTATTCACCAGAAGATTTGCAGCGCTTGGTGAAGGATATAGCCCTCAGTTGCCACAAGAACAATACGCCGATAATTGTGATCTTCAAATGGTTGACAGATGTATTTGATATGGTTTAGAGTTTATATCTTTGTGCCGTGCTACAGCAGGCTCGGTGGACGGAGGTGCGCATACCGTTGGGATGCGCATGGACTTGCGGAAAACATGCGTGCACGCACGTAGAAAGGGGAGCAGAAGAGGAGGAGGAGAAGGAGGAGGAGGAGGAGGAGGAGGAGGAGGACGAGGACGAGGAGGAGGAGGAGGAGGAGGAGGACGAGGGGGAGGAGGAAAAGGAGGAGGAGGGGGAGGGGGGAGGCAGGGAATAGGAGGAGGAGGTGAAGGAGGAGGAGGAGGAGGAGGAGGAGGAGGAGAGGATGCGTTCCCATGGCGGGGTTTCGAGAAGACGCCGCCTGTGCTGAGCGTCGACGACGACACCCCAGGACAGCCCTGGGACGCTGGGGGGGGGGAAGGAGCCGAAGAGGAGGAGGAGGAGAGGAAGGGGGAAGGAACGAGGAGGAGGAGGAGGAGGAGGAGGAGTGAGGACTGCTTGAGCCCTAGGACAGGAAGGAGGGAGGAGGAGGGAGGAGGAACGACTCGAAGAAGGACTCCTCCCTCCCTCCTCCTAACCTCCTCCTCCTCCTCCTCCCTCCTCCTCCTCCTCCTCCTCCTCCTTCCTCCTCCCCTCCTCCTCCTCCTCCTCCTCCTCCTCCTCCTCTTCCCCTCTTCCTCTCCCCCCACCTCTTCCTTAGCCATGCGGGCTCAATCATGTTTGGGCTCAAAAACCCAAGGCGTCAATTCTACAGAATTGACGACGTCGCCTCCTATACATAGGAGGGGCGCCTGTTTCATACATTGCCTCCTATATATTGGGGTCGATGGGTGCTCGGGGGAAGCCTCAAAGCCTCCATTCCCCTGGCGCCCGTTGGAGCTCGTGACGCTTCTCTTCGGCCTGAAACGTCTATTCCCTTGACGCCCGCTGAAGTCCGTGAATCCTTTATTCGGCCTGAAGCCTATATTCCCCTGGCGCCAAGCGAAGCTCGTGAAGCCTTTATTCGGCGTGAAGTTTTTATTTTCCTGACGCCCAGTGAAGGTCGTGAAGCCTTTCTTCGGTCTGAAGCCTCTAATCGCCTGACGCCCGGTGAAGCTCGTGAAGCCTTTATTCGGCCTGAAGCTTTTATTCCCCTGACGCCCGGTGACGCTTGTGAAGCTTTTATTCGGCCTGAAGCTTCTATTCCCCCGACGCCCGGTGAAGCTCGTGACGCCTCTACTCGGCCTGAAGCCTCTATTCCCCTTGACGCCCGGTGACGCTCGTGAAGCCTCTATTCGGTCTGAAGTTTATACTCCCCCGTCGCCCGGTGAAGCTCGTGAAACCTCTATTCGGCCTAAAGCCTTTATTTCCCCCGACGCCCGGTGAAGTTCGTGAAGCTTTTATTTGGCCTGAAACCTATTCTCCTGACGCCCGGTGAAACTCGTGACGTTTCGCAGGGTTCGTGCCCCAGGGGAGGGCAGATTTATAAGATGCGAGTTGAGTAAAATCCCTAATATTCGTGCCCCTGGAAAGGGGTCGTGCCCCAGGAGAGGGCCAATCACGCTAAGGATTCCTCCCCCGCGATACGACGACTTTATCAACACGCTTGTGAACCACGAGAGATTCGCGCCCTAGGGAAGGGTCAATCTATAGGCACAGACGAAAACATTAAAAATGTTCGCGTTCCAAGAGAAGGCCGATCTATCAGCACATATGTTAAACATAAGAGGGTTCGTGCCCCAGGGGAGGGCAGATCGATATGCACATGCGTAAAGCAAGAAGGGCTCGCGCCCCAGAAGAAGCGCATATACATATATATATATATATATATATATATATATGTATCTATATGGATATATATTTATATATACAGCTAAATATATCGATGTGTGTATATGAATGTATGTATGTATGTATGTATGTGTGCATGTATGCATGCATGAATGTATGTATGTATGTATGTATGTGTGTATGTATGTATGTATGTATGTATGTATGTATGTATGTATGTATGTTATATGTATGTTATATATGTATGTGTATGTATGTATGTATGTATGTATGTATGTATATATATATATATATATATATATATCCTTAGGGGGCACGCCCGGGGCCCACAAACAACTGCCCCGACCCCCCATGGGAGGACGGTGCGGCCGGGGAGGTCTAAAATAGTCGAGGAGGGTCTCCAGAGGCTCCCCAGACGGCCCAAGCGGGCCCCCGAGTCGCCGAAAGACCGTTCCTGGACGCCCAAGGTAGGCCCAAGACGGCCTGAGAAACCCCCCCAAGGCACTCCACGACGCTTCAAGACGCCCCTCCCGAGCGCTTCAAGAGACCAAAATCGTCAATTGTACTAATCTTTTTGTTTAAATGATGTTGGCCTTCCAGCCTGACGGCCCAAGAGGGCCCCCAGACGGCCCCAGAAGCGCACGAGAGCCCCAAGACGGCCCCAAGATGCGCCCAAGAGGGGGTCCGCAACCATTTTGGCTCAAGGTCCCAGCGCGTTGTTCCGATAATCTACCAGTTTCGAGCGATCCGCGCTCCTTTGACTACAGACTACAGCTGAGTCTACATGGCCAAGTCAAAGTTCATGATTGCGTTTGTGTTCTTGCTCATGGGTGGTGTCAGCAGCAGCAGTATCGGCGGCAAGTCTTTGATACGCAAGGCGGAACGTACTTCGGAGACACGCGTCGAAGTCGACCCTCACGGCGCGATGATGGCCGAGGGAAGGGAGATGGTGCATGACGACGAAGAGTCCCTTGTGGATGCGAGCGTGCATGAAGACTCGATGGAAGGCGACGAAGAAACAGAAGACGCATTCGATGACGATGCGTCGGACGATGGTGACGATCCAGAAGATGGTCAACCGGAGGAGCAGGAGCTGGACCAGGAGCCAGACCCAGAGGAGCAGGAGGAGTCCGGGGAGAATGAGACAGCAGGTAGCATGCTTGACCAGGCGTCCGCCTCCAACAGCTCTGGGCCAGTGAACTGCGTATGGGGCTCCTGGGGCAGCTGGACGAGCTGCACATACCCGTACGGGAACCGCCGCCGCAGCTGGCACACGTACACGAAGGATGACCCATACTGGAGCCACTGGTCGCGCCGCCGCGGATGGCATTACTATCAGCTGGCAAAGTGCCAGGGGACACGGGTCAGGACGCGCACCCAAACCACTGAGGCTTCGAACGGAGGCAAGTGCGACGGCGAGTTTTTAGGCATGGGCACCTGCACGCAGGCTCGCCGTCGCCGCCTCGGCTGCCCTCAGACGCGTCGCCGTCGCCGCGATCTCGACTGAGACTTCGGAACATGGGTCCGACAGCTGTTCTTCTTGGCATCGCGCAGTTCTGAGTAGTATATATTCTGGATGGATGCTCGAGTGGTTCCCGTGTCGCACGGTCAAAGAACTTTTCGCGTCTCTGTATGTTCCCCTTCTTCTGGACGACCCTCCTTTCCTCCTTGGCCTGAGAACCCTGCGCGGGGGCTGCAATTCGTTTACTGACTGGCCTGTCCCGCTGGATAGTTCTAGGCCCAGCTCTCTTGCCACATAGAAGATTGAGCCGAGAAGGATTCGCAGGAGTTGGACGAGCAAGGGTAGGGAGAGGGGGGTGAGGACGAGGAGGAGGAAGCAGTGCCTCTCCAGTGGCAGCAGCGCCGAGCACGCCATGAACTAGGAGGACCACACAGCAGACCCTCGGGCACGCCATGAGCGCTGTCATCTCTCAAAGGGGACGCCAACGGTCCAGACCCTCCTCCTCCTCCTCCTCCTCTTCCTCCTCCTCCTCCTGCGGAGTGTCAGGCAGAAGATGCTGCAGGTGGTTGCCGCTGCCTTCCGTGCTCGGTGCGACCCTCGAGGTCGCCCGTGTGCGAGGGCGGCCGGCACACTGCGACCTTGTTGTCAGCAGTAGCGTCAGCCTTGGTTCCCTCCTCCGCTTCTCCTGCTAATGGTCACTCCCTCCGCGTCTCGGCACGTCACGATCGCAGCGCAGATGTAGTCGATCGTTTGAATTATGCCTGCTGCTATCTATTCTAGGTAAGAATCGCCACGATCAACTTTTCGAGCTATCGCGTCCACGGAGGGGGAACCCGCGCGGGAGCTGGCGGGGAGGCAAGGATTGGAGGAGAAGTAGGGTCGGGGTGGGGGGTGGGGTGTGGGGCGGACAGGGCAGTTCCCGCTTCTCCCAGGACCGGCGACGGTTGTGGCGACTCCGAGAGCCACGTCGACAGCGATTTTTTTGTATGTTTCGGGCGGTTCAGAGGTTCCCTTTCCTCCCCCTCCTCCTCTTCCGTCGGTTCCCGCTTTGTCCTTCCTGAGGCTTTTGTGCTGTGCGCCGCCAACCCGCACTATTCTCAGAGGCTGCCTGTTGTACAGGGCTTCTGATGCTTCTGTGCGTAGCCGGCGCCAATTTGCACGGGCCCTTTTGCTCGGAAAGAGGCGACGGGTGGAACTGAACCGAGGCCGAAGAGCCCAGCGGCGCAGCGAGTGACGCCACAAAAAACAACAACAACAAAAAAATAGATGCGCCCAAGAGGGGGACCACGACTCCAAAATTCGACCCTCCCTCTTGAAGAGTGCCCCAGCCCCAGGAGGCCCCAAGGAGCCCCCCAGAGGGCCCAGGAGGCCCCCGAGAGGCACCCAGGAGACCCAAAGAAGGCCTCAAGAGGCCACAAAACAGCCCCGAGGAGGTCCCACAACGGTGTCAAAATGGCTACCGAGAAGCTGAGAAACTGCCTTCACGACGTCCCCGACAGGCCAACCACGAGATCCAAACCAACACCCATGAGGCCTCTGACCCACTACCTAGGGCACCCGCCGCCGTCCGCCCGCCGTCCGCGTAGCACGCACCACTCTGTACACAGCTTCAGTCTCCAACAAGCTCCCGCTGCAAGAGAGCACCCTTAAGGAATTCATTCAATTCCCGACCCGCCCGCCCGCCACCCGCCCGCCCGCCGCCCGCCCGGCCGCTCGCCCGCCTTCCGCGTAGCACGCGCCACAATGCACTCAACAGCCTCCGCCTCCAAGACAACACCTAGCATTCAACAGCCCCCAGGGCTCCCAGGACTGCCCGGGCCCGCTCCCAAACACGCCACGACACGCCAAGAGGGCCCTAAAGATTGCCAAGACAGCCCCAAGAGGCAACGGACACGCCGAAGATGGCCTCAGGACGGCCAACGACGCCACCAAGACGCCCCAAGAGCGCCTCCAGAGGCCCCTCCAAAGGGCCCCGCATTTTTGCGTTCTCGCATGTTCCGCCTCCCCACGGTCCCAGACGGCGTCAGAGGCCCTTCAGATCGCTCCAAGACGGCCGAAGAGGCTCCCCAGGAAAGACCAAAGATGGCCCAGGAGGCTCCCCAGATAAGTCAAGAGGGCCTCGAGAGCGCTCCAAGAGAGCCCCAAGAGCGACCCAAGAGGGCCCGAAGAGCGCGACATTTCAAGGTCTCCGGCCTGAGAGGCTCCTAGGACGCCCCCGGAGGCCATCAAGAGGCTCCCAAGAAGCCCCGTGAGGCTCCCAAGAGGCCCCCCGGAAGCCCCAAGAAGCCCCCTGCGGGCCCCCAAGAGATCGGTAAATCGCATTTCCCAGAGCTTTCCGGGAACATGATTCCTTGGGCTCCCAGTAGCCCTGAACCATTGATTTTTTGCCCGCATGTTCAGAATTGGTGCTGTCCACAAATTTGGGCCTCGACTTCAAGTATACACAGAAGTTACTAATCATTGGAGGCGCATCGCAATTATTCGCATCAAGCGTCAATTTTCGATGCCAGCGTAAACAATTGCGAACCAACGCCAATGATTAGTTTGTCTGTGTGCCATATTGCGCACCTTCTCATTGTGGACTATCAACGCCAGTTCTTGGCATGCTCGCGAGAAGTTTATGGCATGGGGCCTTGTTATTCACCCTCGTCTTCCTGCCGCTGTAGTCTGTAGTTGCTGATCCCCCTCCTCTCCCTCCTCAACCTCGTGCGATTTTCCCTCGCCCCATGAAACTGGAAGGGCCGAACGGTGTTACGCTGCCCCTGGTTGCGTCACTGCAATGGGTTTGCGCGTCGCGGTCCTCGCCGTCGCCCTCGCCCCGTGAACCGCCCCGCGACCTCTCCGTGACCAGCCCCGCGATCCGCCCTGCGGCCCGCCCGCGGCCCACGCGGGGAATAAGGGGGAGACAGAGATGGGGGGTGTCTCGTTGTCTTGCCCCAAATTTCGGATGCGTCTCGAGATTTCGAGACGCCTGCATATAAGTTGAGAGATCGCACATGTGGCGCGAATACCAATCTCGCCGTGAAAATTGCGAAACAAACTATGCATCCCAGCCCGTGCCACCTCACTCTTATCCGCTGGGAATGCATCTGCACCTGCGCAGCATTTTCTGTGAAACTGTTGCTGGCGCGGGGGTGCCTTGCACCGCGAGGAGTCTTCCTCCCTCCGATTTCCCCCCCTTCCTTCTCTCCTCCCTCCTGCTCCTCCTTTTCCCCTTTCCCCCATCCCGCCCCTCCCCCCCGACCCCCACCCCCGTAAGGTTGACCAAACCGTGTGTGTGTGTGTGTACCACCTCGTTTTTGGATCTTTTTACTTCTTCTGTACTTGTTGTATTGATGTTTGTTGTGTTCGTCATCTTGTGGATGGAGCGTTATAGCGATGTGTATTGTGTGGCAGTTTTTTCAAGGGATTATTCATGTGTAGCGGATTACAAATTGATTTCCTGTGTGGCATAATACAAAAAAAAATCCTCTGTGGAGGATGACATTAGGATTCCTTTTGCGGGGGGGTTACAAGATGATTCCGTTTGTGGCGGATTACACATTGATTTCTATTGTGGGGGATTCCTGGGAAGAAACCAGGGAGATGAAGAAAGCAAGCAAAAACAAATCAATGAACACTATGAAAACTGTTGTGTTTTCAATGTTTTTGGTGTCGGAGGCAGAGAATAAGTATGTGAAACACACAGTGTTTCCAGCATCCAGACTTCCAACACGCTGTGTTTTACAGTGTTTTTGTATATCCCGATGCCGAAAGCATTGTAAAACACAGCGTTTTGGAAGTCTGGATGCTGGAAACACTGTGTGTTTCAAACTTGTCGCTGCCTCCGACACCAAAAACAGCGAAAACACAATACGGTTCACAATTTTCATTATTGCGAAGGCCTTACGGCCGGTGCCGCCGACCCTGTTCCCAATGAGCAGCAAGAGACATGGTATGGGTGTGTGCGGGAGGGGGGTAGGGGGGAGAAGGAGGAGAGGGGAGGAGGAGGAGGAGGAGGAGGAGGAGGAGGAGGAGGAGGAAGTGCATCCCGTGTGTGCCCGCTCGAGGAAAGTGCGCCCGGGGAGGCGTCGTATTTGACCCGCTGCCCCCCCCCGGGACCCCCCCTCGCTACCCCCCCCCCGGGGCTTCGCCACGATCACTACGATGTTCGATTTCCTTCTGCATGGGTCGGCTTGGCTGGCGCGGAGGAGGAGGAGGAGGAGGAGGAGGAGGAGGAGGAGGAGGAGGAAGTGCATCCCGTGTGTGCCCGCTCGAGGAAAGTGCGCCCGGGGAGGCGTCGTATTTGACCCGCTACCCCCCCCCGGGACCCCCCCTCGCTACCGCCCCCCCCTCCGGCGGGGAGGGTAGGGAGGGGCTTCGCCACGATCATTACGATGTTCGATTTCCTTATGCATGGGTCGGCTTGGCTGGCGCGGAGGAGGAGGAGGAGGAGGAGGAGGAGGAGGAGGAGGAGGAGGAGGAGGAGGAAGTGCATCCCGTGTGTTCCCGCTCGAGGAAAGTGCGCCCGGGGAGGCGTCGTATTTTGACCCGCTGCCCCCCCCCGGGACCCCCCCTCGCTACCCCCCCCCCCCGGCGGGGAGGGTACGGAGGGGCTTCGCCACGATCACTACGATGTTCGATTTCCTTCTGCATGGGTCGGCCTGGCTGGCGCGGAGGAGGTTCATTATTTTGCAGTTTTGTTTTTTTCTTTGTTCCCCTAGCTTCCTCTTAGGAATCCCCCACAAAGGGAATCAATGTGTAATCCGCAACAGAAGGAATCAACAAGTCACCGGCCACAAAAGGAATCCATTTGTAATCCGCCACAAAAGGAATATATGTGTAATTCGTGACAAAAGAAATCAGTTTGTAACCGGCCACAAAATGAATATCTTTGTAATCCGCCGCAAAAAGAACACATATATATATATATATAAAATTCGTGACACAAGAAATCAATGTGTAACCGGCCACATGAGGAATCCCTTTGTATTCCACCACCGAAGGAACCCCTTTCTGGAAATCCCCCACAGGGGAATTAATGTATAATTCGTTACAAAAGGAATACATTTGTAATCCTCTACAACAAGGAATCGTATTGTAATCCACCACACGAGGAAATCATTTGAAAACTTGTTGCAAAAGGGATCCGTCGATACGGAGCCAAAAGGAAGCCCATAGAGATATGAAGGGAATCGAAGAGGGAGCCAAAATAACCCAAGAGGAGCCTGCTAAAGGTTATCCATGCGTTGAGGGCACCCCTGTTTGGGATGCCTTATCAACATCGCACCGCACTGTTTGGCGGTACTTGTGTTTGGGATGCCCTCAAATATCGTTGCTTCGAGGACATCCCTTTTTAGGGTGCCCCTTATCAACAACACACCGCACTGTTTGACGGCACCCATGTTTGGGACGCCCCAAACGGGGAAGCGTTGAGGACATCCTTTTTCGGGATGCCTTTCGTCAAGAACACGCAACATTGTGTGACGACGCTCCAGTTTAGAACCCATTCAAACATCACTGCTTTGAGGACATCTCTGTTTGGAGTGCCCCCTATCAACTCTATCCCGCCGGATGATTTTTGGATATTTTTCAGGGCCGGAGAAAACACTAAAACACATGACACGAAGGAGACTCCACGGGTACATTAGACATATATCGTGAGTTCAGCGTCCTTCGGCACCCAGGAGGAGCACCAGAAGGAGCAGGAGGTGGAGCAGGAGGATCAGGAGGATGAGGAGGAGGAGAAGGAGGAGGGGGAGGAAGAGGAGGAGGAGGATGGGAGAAAAAGGAAGCGGCGGAGGAGGAGGTGACACAGCGACTCCCGAGTGCCCTGGGGAGATCCCTTCCCATCTCCCTCCCGAATCCCTGTTTCCCCTCCT